GGGGTCCAGATAAATTCAGTTTAATGCCGATGCACCTCCGCAGTCCCTGTGTCTGAAGGACAACAAACAATCCTTTTTATAACATAATTAAATTAAAAGGGAGGCCCCAAAGCGGACCACAGCTTAACAGGAAGAAACGTCTAACAACGTGGTGTTTTTTTTATGACAGGTTATGTGAAAATTTGAAAATTACACTAGAAAAAGGGGAATTACCAACTTAAATACCAACTAAGATAAACAAATTACCTAGAACTAAAATTTCGTACACATTACACAACAAATCCGCAGGGAAGTCTATGATTTCATTGAGTATTGACTAAACCACGGTCGTTCTTGTACTTATTAATAGCTTGTATATCAAGCATGTTAAGCAATGAGTAAGCTTATGCGAGACCACATTATTAAAAAGGACACACTGGGATCTTCCACTTAGGTACGATGATATTATGGAACAGCTATTCGAGTCGAAGTTATAAACAAGTCTTAGTTTTCTTATTAAAATTTCGTGATTAACACAGTCGAATGCTTTTAGACATGTCTATGAACGTTGCCACAGTGTGGAATCCATTTTCAAATGCCTTGAGCGTGCTCCTCGTAAATTCAATGATCGCATTCGAGGTACCTCTACCTTTACGAAAGCCAAACTGTTTATCATGAAGTAAATTACTAGCTTCCAAATAAGACATTATTTGTTGATTTAAAATTCTTTCGCATATTTTCGAGAATATGGGAAGAATGGATATAGGCCTGTACGCGCTGATGTCATTCTTATTACCTTTCTTGGGTATTGGAATAATAACAGCAGATTTCAGCGTATCCGGAAAACTACCAGAATTAATTATGGAGATGATAATTACTGTGATAGGTCTAACCAATAGGCGGACGTTTCTTTTGATAAAGTTTGCACTTGCACTTTAACGTATTTATGACCTCTCGAACATTTATTTGGGAAACGTTGGTGAATTTAAACTTGCAATTATCACGAGCAGATGAACTATCACAATAGGTAAGAGGGTCAATGTTAGTTAGCGGCGAGGTTAGCGGTGGGTTATCAACTATAACACTTGCGATATTGTTAAAGTATGAACAATTTTAGGGGTTAAGCTCCCTACGTAGAGAGGTGAAGACTTGGGTTCGTGATTTGTATTCCAAAAGTTGTCCCCCTCGAATACAAAATTGACGTGTTCGAGGATTTTTCGAAATTTCTAAATTTAATACCCTAAAAGCCTTCTGTATACTTCTCGTTGGGCCACTCTGTATATCCTAAGTAAATAATTGTTGACTTCTGTCCTTTTTTAGTATCCACAAATAACAAGGGTTACAATGGCGGTAAGGATGTTGTACAAAACTTTAAATTTATTTGGTTTTCCCTTGCCTTGCGCAGTTCAATTTATTTTATTTTGTGGAAAGAGAATGTGAAATGTATGATTTGATTTGTAATCGTCGAACAATAAAACACGAATTTGAACCAGCAAAACAGATGTTCTAGAGCGGTACCTTTCTCGACTTTTTCGTTATCTTCATAGCGTAACATTATGAAGCTAGTTATAACCAGCAGTACGACTATAGTTTTCTTTTAGGTACAATTGATGAATCTTCACAAAGACATGGTTGTCCTGACTGTGGAAAATCCTACAAACATAGACCTAATTTACGTCGACACATTAGATTTGAGTGTTGCAATAAGCAAGGAACGTTTGTGTGTGTCTATTGCAAGCGATCATTCAAACAGAAAGGAAATTTGAAAGTACATATCAGTGTTAAACATCAATCACATTATTTCTGTTAAAAACTGTCTGTAATAAAATGTCGTAAAATCAATGCATCATTTTTTAATTAGCCATGTTTCTTGCTAAATCACTTGACTAGAGCGTGGTGAGGTTTTTTTGTATTTAAAATAGAACAAAATAAAATCTCCGACACTATAAAGACAATTAAATGGAAAAGAAGTTTTAGAAGGGTAATTTAATGCATTTTGTTGTTTTTTTTAAAATCATGTCCATGATTTTGTTATTAATAACGCAATAACGCAATGTATTGTAATGTTTCTAATTTTTCTTAGGATTTTTCTGATGAAAACCGTAGTCGGTTCTTTTTCGCCGATTGTAATGGAACAACAATGTCTTTATAAGAAAACCAATTATGACTTCATTTTATTCATTCAAAGAGCAACAAGAAGCGGCGGAAAGTCGTTTTTGCTTTATCAACAAAACTTATTTGGTGTATAAAATCAGAGACAGCAGGTCTCTGTATAAAATATACAGTTTTCCAACTGAGGTCGACACTGTTGCACACAATACATACATATATGTAAAAACAGTTGTAAAAAAATTATTTTGATGAATTAGTTATTTATGTATTAAGGGCATAAAGCTGATGTTTATATCCTCGAGGGCGATGAGTTAAAAAGCTCGAGGGCCGATAGGCCCGCCCGAGCTTTTTAGTCGCCCGAGAGTATAATCATCAGTTTATGCCCGTGGTACATACAAAATAGTTTCTTTCGTCAAAGTAAATATTCGTTTACAAAACAATTCATTATGTTTGATCAAGTATGAGTGGTTCGAATTTGTTAATGTGATTGAAACTATAGTTACTATTGAAACCATCCAAACGTCAAACGTTTACTCAATTCATCATGGATGAAGTTCCAGAAAGTATTCAAAATAAGGCCAATCTTGCAGCGGACCAATTAATTCCACATAAGTCTAAAAGTTTATATAATCTGGAATACTCAAAGTTTGTTAAATGGTTAGCCAACAACGGTACAGGAATTATTAATGAAGTAGTACTCTTAGCGCACTTTCAGGAATTGGTGAGTTTAGTATTTTCATTTCTTTTGATTTGTTTAATGGCTGTGTGTTATAGTCTGAAGTGTTTCAACCAACGTCTTTATGGACTAAATTTTCTATGATTAAAAAAACGCTGCTTTTGAACAAAAATGTTAATATTGGAAATTATGCAAAATTGACGCAATTTTTAAAAAACGTCTCCAAAGGTCACGTGTCCAAGAAATCAAGCGTATTAACGCGCGAGGATATTTTAAAGTTTTTGCGGCAAGCACCTAACCACGAATATTTATTAGTGAAAGTGGCACTAATATTTGGGATCTACGGCGGATGCAGAAGGCAAGAACTATGCGACATGCTTATTAGTGATGTAGAAGATAGAGGTGAAGTTATTGTGGTTACAATTCCTCAAACAAAAACTGATAAGTAGCGAATATTTTCCATTATTAATGAGACGGAAATGGAAGCCATCCAAACCGTAAAAAAGTATTTAGCACTGCGTCCGCAGCACTGCAACTTGAAGCGGTTGTTTTTAGGCTACAGGAAAGGGCTTTGCATTGCTCAACCTGTTGGGAAGAACACGTTTGGGAAAATCCCCTCTACAATTGCAAGTTACTTAGGCTTAAAGAATCCTGAAAGTTATACGGGTCATTGCATGCGTAGAACTTCTGCTACGTTACTCGCGGATGCCGGTGCTAGCATGACTACACTAAAGAGACATGGGGGATGGAAGAGTACAACTGTAGTAGAAGGGTATATTGAAGACAGTTTAACAAGCAAGAACAAGGCAGCTAAGCTAATTGCGGGAGAATCGCTAAATATTAGTACAGCGTCAAATCATCTGGCAAATACTAATTCACCAGTAAGTTTAAACGGTGGCAATGCTATCTTTTCGGGATCTTTCAGTAATTGCACCTTTAATATTAATGAAAAAAAATAAATACTGCTATTTTTCAGGACGTATTTATGAAATGTTAATAAAGTTTGTTCCATTGTTGCGTTTTTCTTTAAGAAGTGACATGTATTTTATCTGTAAGGAATCTTTCGCACGGAGAGCCCTACGGCTCGCACTTGTGACAGTTAATAGGTATTGACATTTAATAATTGACGTTTCTGTTTTGTCATTAAGTATAAATGAGTTACTATGGTGATACTTAATGCCCTAGGGCATAAAGTGGTACTTTATGCCCGCGTATCACAGATATAAAATGTGCTATTATATGTTAGTAAGACATAAAATAAAATATGCGTTATATTTAGTACTTTAATGCCTTCGTAGCTGCAATAAAACAATATTTGCAATAGCAACAACCTTAGGAGGGTTATTTGGATAACCGCAAAACGCATCATAGGATTTATATCCAGGAATACCGGGCCCTCCGTGTTTGTGTGGTATCCTATAAGTATATCAACGATCTCGTCTGGCGAAATGTAGAACTTCTAAATGATATATAAATTAAAAAATATGGATTTCTTGATCCAAATGTTAGTTTAAATTCATATGTAAGTAAACTAGTGGTAGGTAGGTATCTGTTATAATTTGAAGTTGACGCGTTTGAGGAAGGAAGTGGTGTGTGCGCGCATGAATGTCAATTAAGTGTCTTGTTGAGTTGCACACGAAGAGAGACTCATTTTCGTTGTATGTGTTATTTCTCGTGCTTTGATTAAATTTCTATTTACACTATTACATTATTAATCAGTGTTTTACTTACAATAGTATCCAATAGTTTTGTAGGTTAGCTATATTATAGTGTAGAGGGTGAATTCTAATCCTCTACTGAAATGGTAACTAGGGGGTATCAAAATTAATATTTCTTCAAAACAAGTTTTGTTCAAATTGTAATAATAAGAACTGTTTAAGTTCGTAGGTATTATTGTTATTATGTATTAACGTCTTAAAATTTTCTATTTCAAGTAAAATTTTAATGAAGTATTTAAACAAGTCACAGATTTCGCAATCCTTGCAACCATTGGAGACATTGGAAATGAGGGAGCAGGGGAGCTCGAATACCCTCTACCTTTCTTTTTCTTGTGAAGAGAACTAGCTCCGTTTTTGTCGGGTTGATGGACAAGGAGGGTTGGTAGGGGACTAAACAAAGGCATTCTAGAAGGTATTGCAAGCTCCTGGTTTGTCGGGTCCGGTCGTACATTTTAGCTTCTATTTCTTATATTGCTAAGATATTGAGTCTTTCATCGAGTTCTTTTAAGTTGTGAAATAGTTATTTGTACAACTGGAGAAGAAAGTGGACTTTCTTCTCAAGTTTTACACATATTTGTTTCTGAAACTACAATCAAAATTGAAAAATTATCGTATGCAATACTGAAGTTTGACGCATAGCAATCTACGAGTAGATACGGGGTATGGTTCAATTTTAAATGTCATTATTGAGATTAACGCAGCAGTTGTTTTTTACTTTCCTCGCTAGAGAAGAAAATCACATTTTTCACCCTTTTTAAAGACGAAACTTTGTTTCTAAAGTAGCTTCAGAAAAATTACGTTTACCGAATACTGAAATAATCAACTGCGGTTTCAAAACATTGCAAAAAAGTTAGAGCACTGCAATTCAAGTTGTAGTGTGTCTAAAGAGACGTTTCGAAAAAGGTCGAAGAAGACATGCAAGTTATAGTCTTCTGTTAATCTTTAACAACATTCTGAAATGGTGGATTCGTTAAACATCAATAAACGATGCGAATAATTTAGTATAGCAAATTGTTGCTTATTTATGTTATGTTACACTTTCTTACCGATAGGTGTTAAAAGAATTATTTCATAATTTCCGTTTTCCTGGGCCGCAGGAACTAAATTTCTTAACTTCTGTTGTCAATTTGTTCAAAATTATCTTTTTAGGAATAAATATGGAGCAACTGATTTATACCTGTGAGCAGTGTAACAGAAATTATAAGTGGAAGAAAAGTTTACTGCTACATCAAAGATATGAATGCGGCATTGAAGCGCAATATGCATGTATATATTGCCCCTATAAGGCAAAACGACGGGCAACCCTTGACAATCATATGCGGTGTAGACATATTGATCATGTCAAAAATGTAACTTAGTAAGCATGCAGTAAGTAATTTTGTTTACAAACATTTTTTTAGCTGTGACTCGAAATGTTATTTAGTAATGCTTGTTTTACTACTGTTTCTGTTATTATGTCTACTTAAGGTGCCAATAAGTGGAGAACATACATATGTAATATGTTTACAAGTAGCCGATTTTAACTATCAGGTTTGATTAAATATATTGTACGAGTGAATAAGAGAAAACATTCTACCGTGGTAATGATTGCTCACACCTATACGACTAATGTGCTTATTCTGTGTGTTTTTTTGAGGATACAGTTCATGAAACGCTAATGAAGAGATTATTCTGAAGAAAACTACAACATATTAGTTTGGGGCTTGGTGACGCAACAATCTGACCAAAATAAATGCATTAACAAAGAAATGATTCAATTGTTGTAAGTCAAAACTCATACAGTTGACATTTTGAATTAAGAGTGCGACCTCCTTATTATACGAAGAAAGGATATGAATTGTCAGAGTTGTGACTTGTGCAAATATCTATATTAAGAAAGGAATAAAATTGTCCTGTAGCTTTGTGGTTTACAGAAATTTATACTTCTTCACTCCCTCCCGACCTCGTTTACACATTACAAATGGCATTTCCGGCCCTCATTTCCTTCCCAATTTTTGATATTTGGTCATTTTGTGTGTGAGAGAGAGGGTGAGAGAGGGTGTGTGTAAGTGTGTGTTCATATTCTGGCAAAGGGAGCTTGGATCCATCTTTGTGGATGCCTGTTACTACCGTTAGAGTGAGCCTCACAACCTGAAAACTGTAACTTGGAAGCTGGTGGTGAGTCTGAGTACTAACAGAGCCCTGTGGCGTATGTCAGTTTCAACCTACGGCACAGTGACGGTGACTATAGTCTGTAAAATGAGTAAGTTTCGATTTCGGATTAGCGCTTAATTAACGCACGCCATCAGTTTATATATCTTTGCTGTTCTATCACATAATAATTGTGGTAGAAGGCAAGTGGGTAGCCAGTTTTGTCACCGCGGGTGGTGAACTAAGAAGAACTTACCTATTGGTATGTCTTTTCGGTGCATTTATTTCCATTTAAAATTCCTTTAACGTAGAGCGGTCCTCTTAGTTCACCACCGGCGGTGACAAAACTGGCTACCCACTTGCCTTCTACCACAATTATTATGTGTTAGAACAGCAAAGATATATAAACTGATGGCATGCGTTAATTAAGCTCTAATCCGAAATCGAAACTTACTCATTTTACAGACTATATTACATCATTAGTATTTATGAACCGATATTTACAGGCCTACTGATTTTGCGTTCTACGTTTGTGCATAATTGCACGCATAGTAAACCATGACCAATGAAATATTTAAAAATGCTTTTATTAATATTAAGCATTCGTTTTTTTATTATGTCGTCGAAGATGCTTAATTTGAATAATTTTAGGAACACCGCTTAGGACACCTGCAAGTGCTGCCACTTGCTTAACATGTAACAAGGTATACAAACTGAGAAGTTCTTTGCTACGGCACCTGAGGTACGAATGTCAAAAAGATCCTCTACAAATCTGCGATATTTGCGGTAAAAAATCACATCTAAGAAGTAATTTGATACAGCATATGCGCAATAAACATTCATATTCTTCTGAAGAATTTAAATAGTAAAAGTGCCAGAATTCATATTGTATAGACGATTATTACTATTTGATTCCGCGAAAATTATATTTCGTCTGGTTTTTATAAATCATCTTCATTATCCACCCGTAAATTGTTGTCATCATTACTGCTGTGTAAACGCAATTAATTTTCCTAAATAAATAAGTGTACAATGCGCTTAAAACAATATACCTACTTTACAAATTACCACCATCATTCAAAGAAAACAATTTTGCTATTATCACCTTCCACCAGCGAATTTAAATATATCCAAACGGCTTTTAAAATTCATAACACATTTACTAACTTATTTGCAATTATTACGTTCGGGTATAACTTTAATTATCAGATGTCGTTATTTATGCATCCCATTCATCCAGTACCGAAGAAACGAATTTTATGCATGTTCGGTCAACATTTTCAACAATCAAGATGAAAAAAATTACCCGAGATTCGAACAAAAATACTAAAGGCTAAATACCATACCTTGGACCGCTATATGTGGGGAGTTTTATTTTTAAGAAATAACGCTAATCTTTTAATGTTTTATACAATTTAAGTAAAGCTGAAAATTTGAAGATGAAGTAGTACTATTTTAATTTTTGTATCAAAAGCTGTGCGCCTAGATACCATCTTTTGATAGATAATAATCCTGTTTGTGTAATATGCTATCATTGCTTGTAGCTGCTCCCGAGCAATATTTCAAAATCGCTTCGCATCGGTGTGACAGTTGTGGAAAAGCGTACAATCAAAGTTATAATTTATCGAGACATGTCAAGTATGAATGTGGAAAGAAGCCTCAATTCCAATGTCCTTTCTGTGTCTATAAGTGCAAGAGAAAGGATACTTTGAAGAAACATTGTATAATGTTACACAGCTTAAATTTGTGAACGATTCAAATATATGTTGCTCAAATACTAGGTGGTTTTTTTTACAAAGACGTTCGGACCATTATAATATTGTAGAAGATGTTTTTTAGGTTTCGTTTAGTTGAATTCACCAGATGTGCCAAAATGATAAAATGCACAAACTACAAGCGTTCCTAAAATAACGTATATCGGTCTTTTGGATAAGATAGAGTGGTAATTGTCATTTGTTATTTGAATTAGAAAATTTAGACTTTTGGAATTAGTTTATTTAGTTTGGATCTTCGATTTAACATAGTGTAAAGATGTGTTCCAAAAAGTCTTTGACAATGTGATTCTAATATTAAACGTTTTGTAGGTTTAATTCTATACCACTGTGCCGACTGCGGAAGAAATTATAAGTACTCTCATTCTCTGACACGCCATCAACGGTATGAATGCGGAAAAGAACCAGCTTTTATTTGTGCCATTAAAGGTTGTAACTATAAGTGTAAACGCAAAGATAACTTAAACGTACACGTGAGGTGCCATATAAAACACGGATTTCCTGTAATCAAAAACGAAATGGAATAACTGCTAAAATCAGAACAGGTAAGTAGTTTGCAACGTTCAAGGGGACGATAAGGCATGTGTGTGTTTTTTTGTTCTCAGTATCTTGTAAAAAATGTAAGGAATTGCAAGCCATCGTGTGACCCAGTAATGTAAAAGGTATTATCAAATAAGAATGGAGTAAGAGACTAAAACAATCAGATTTACACATACAGTTTGTATAATGGATCTTTGATCACGTATGTTCTAAGAAGCGGACAAGGACGCAGTGTTCTATTTCAGTCGCTAGCGTACAATCCAAGATGTATGGTAACTTGATGCGTATCTTCATTGGTTTCATTTTATACCGATTACCTTTTGTTGACGATCAAAGATCCATTATATAAACATGTATACAGTCATTTTTGTTTGAATTGGTGAAACATTCCAGTTAAAGTGACTTTAGTAATTTCTATAGTGCAAGTTAGTAATTTTGTAAAATTCCTTCTAGAATGTAGACCGCATGGTTTAATGTACGTTACCATGAACGTCAGGGCAATCCGAAAAATGCATAGGTACTTTTTTTTTAATCTGGGCGATAGGTGTTATGATTACCATTGTGATCTTATTTACCTACGCAGCATATTTTTATTAAATTACAAATAAATGTAAACATTACGAAAATTATGTAATGTGCAAGGTGCTCATTGTAAACGTTTGAATTCATGGTTTAATTTTAAAATATATATATATATACATATTTATATTTTTCTAATTATGTACGTAAATTGGATTAAATTATTTGGTTAATAATGAATCCAGTCTATTACAAGGTGCATTGTTTAGTTCAATCATTGATTCGTCTAAACGCTATCTTGATTGTAAGTGCTTTCATAACACAGTGGAATAATAAAAATACTCCTGTCTAGGGTGATTCAATATTTAGGAGTTAGATAGGTATACCACTCACACATGACGATAAAATATGTTTACTATCTTCATATCGGTTTGTGAATAGGTTAAATAAAAATGTTACCATTGAATGAATATTTGAATTTAGAACATAGTATTTCTAACAGCGATATATTACAAATATTCTGACCACATGAAAATGTGAACCTTATTAATACAAATTTTATTTATGTAATTATTATCGGGTTATTTGAAATTTCAGTGGCAAATCAAGTCGTGTATTTTATATTCTCCATCACACTCTAACAAGGTCATGTTTTTACTTCAGCATGTCACTTACATCTCACTTACTGTCCACTTGTTTTACGTAACGGATCTTTGATCATAATCGGTTTTGATGGAAAATTGAGTGATAAATAATAACCACAAAGTTTTGTTCTAAAATTTTCAATAGCACTATTTTCTTTGTTAATTATAGACGAGTCTAGTGAAGAGTAAGGTGACTTCGAAGAATATGAGAATGCGCTCAGTGAACAGCGCAATCTCATTTTATTGTATCCATTAAGTAAAAATGTCCTGAACTTTATAAACTATGAAATGGTATTAAGTGATGCAAGACACATTTATGAATTACGAGTTTTGGTTCCTATAGAGGCATCTACTTCTACTCAATATTATTACACAGTGATGGTGTAAAATTCACGGGGTAAGGACGAACCGCACGAATAATATGTAACACAATAAATAAAAAAACTAACTCCATCGTTTGTTCGAACTTGACTGCAGTTCCAGAATTTCATTTCAGTGTTACTTATGTAGAAATCAATTAACACAGGTGTAGGGATGTTTGATACCACAATGTAACAAAAAAGTAATGCTTTTTTTTCAGTATTGCACCCCCAACGAAGATCATCGAAAGCTAGACCGTTTCAATGCGATGACTGCCCTCGGAGATATACACTGCAAAGAAATTTACGTCGCCATCAGAAAGTTGAATGTGGAAAAACGAAGCAATTTGAATGTGGAATTTGCCATTTGAGGTTTTATTATAAACAAGAACTGCAGTCTCATACATTCACACGCCACCGACACATTTTCGCTTGGAGTTGATTATTAGAGATTATTTCACTTTCGACATCCGAGTGGATCATCTATGCAAAGACGACGATAGTTTTTGTTATGATAATCGCTTGATTAAAGAATTAAACATAAAAACATATTCTTGTGCAGCGTTTTGGTCAAAACGGAAATTCGGTAGTTTATTTTGCTTCCTTACAAGGATACTCCTGGAATCATTAAAGAATTCGTCTTCGCTCACGAAATTTTTTATATTTGCGTTTGCAGAACAGAATAAATTTTGATAACGTATTGGAATGGCCACGATAAAAAAATATATATACCTATACGATTGTCATATTTAATGATTCTATGTGTGTGTATACTAATTGTTACTTATAGTTTTATATGCTATGTTTCGTATGACATTTTTTTGATAGGTACCTATTTTCCTATTATAGTAACAATTGACTTAATATATCTCTTGTAACAATTTTATTATTAATATACTCACGGAATATTAGGATCATTCTTTTGAACTGTTATACTAGTAAAATCCAAATGCTCTGCATACATGAGTGACCAACACGCGGCCCGCCTTGTGTTATCTTATGGCCCGCGAAGCTTGGGAAACAGCGGTGAGCTTTGTGGTACATTTTCTGCATCTTCTAGAAAGTGGTGGAAGGAAAGTGGTAGCTTCTGATATCTGTGGGCGAGTACAAAACTAATATATTTGATGAAGCGGCAGCAATTCCGTCTATCGGCTAATGGTGTTCCTAATCACTAATGTAAAACAATTACATTAGATATATTCAGTCTCTCAAATAAACGATGTCATGGAACGCTTATGATTTCATTTTCTATTGAAAAAGGTTTGTGGGAATCGGAAATTGAAGGAAGGAACTATTTATATTACCTATAGTTCATTGTACAGTTGTGTTTTTTGAGAATGGTAGGTACGAAAGAAGATCCCACTTTTTACTCGTCGATTTTGTTTTCCTGAAAAATTTTTCATTAAAAGCCAACTTCAAATAAATCCATCTCTTATGGTTGTAATGTATGAAATATAATCATAGTCCCTACAACAATTTCTTTAATTCTATTTAGGTAATTATGTTACTAAAATTTGTTTGCTTCAATTAACAAAAACAATTGCGTGGCTCGGAATGAAACCTTACTTTTCATATTTGGCTCGTTCGCTGAAATGGTTGGCCACACATGATTATTAACATCTATAATAATGAGATTATAAGAAACTCCTTCACGCAGGTTAGGTTAATTTTAGGTTTCATTCACTTAACTATAATTATACTGGAACGCACACCGGCGGTCTCTGTCATAGAAACGTAGCGCGCCGAGAGAGATAGTGCAAGGGGGAGGTTACGTGACGCTAAAAAGTCCCCCAGGTACGATCATGAAATTGATAGAAAAGGATAGAGGGCACCTTAATAACACGTTTTCAGTTAAAAAATTGTCGGAAGAAGCCTTACATTTTCCACAATCTTCATTCAAAGTTGAATTCATTTCGTCGAAAGTGAGGTTATATTACTCCAATTCCAATTTTCATGATTGTTTTTCGGTTGGTAGTGGTGTTGTTAACATTCCAACTTTAATTTCTTAAGAGGTTATATTATTTTTCCATGATTTAATACACGGTTGATCTTTGCCACATGCAATATGTAACCTTCTCTACGACATTCTTCTTCTCTAATGCATTCAAGGGGTTAGACTATATACGCTTCAACAAGTAGTGTTGTTAAAGTGTATCCCCAAGTAACATGGAAGTGTCGCTTATTTGGTGCATAAGTCGAACAAAACCTAAATGGTATTGTGTATTATACTCGTACCTGTTATGTTATACTACTTTGATTACATTCCTGTGAATATACACGTTAAATCCAGCATATTTCAATTTAGTAGACGAAGAAGTTAACACAACCTCCTACAAAAATTAGCTGTCACCTTTGTTTATAAATTAATAAACAAAGCTGTCACAACATTTTTCAGTTTCACCAACTTAAGAATGACAAACTATACATAAAATAACACCAGATTTCCAGAAAATGAAGTGAACTTTTAATTAAGATTGTGGAAAATTTAGGCATTCTTCCGCAAATTGTTTTATTCTAAATGTGTTATTAAGGTGCCTAGAAATGGATAATTTCTATCAATTTCATGATCAGACCTTGGGGGCTTATTAGCGTGACGTACCTCAAGGGGGATTTCTGTCACTGTCATTCATTGGGAAACTGATCATTAATATAAATTCAAAACATATCAAATAGGCTGCTCTATGCATGCACTAGAGTGGGACAGAGATCCCCCTTGTGGCCCTCTCTCTCGGAACGTGCTGGCCGTCGGAGCGCGCGTTCAGTATAATTATAGTTCAGTCGTTTCATTAGAACAACGAATTGATTACAATCATAAATATTTACCCAACTTTGAGAAATCTTTAATTATTAAAAAAAAGGAGCTCAAGCTACAAACATCAAACATTGCATGGAATTGATGCCTCAACGAAAATGAATAGTTATTGAAGAAGCTTAGGTGAGGAGATCGCTAACAACTACACAAATAAAACGGTTATCTTTACTGATGGCTCGAAAAACCAACAAGGGGCGGGATCCGCCATGGTAGTTGATGGTGTGGTCCACTCCTGGGCCCTAAACCCTATAACCTCGGTGTATACTGCGGAACAGTTTGCATTATGGAAGGCTCTGGTACACATTCCCGTAGAACCTACAAATAAAACATATTTGATAGTTAGCGACTCTTTAAATGCCATAAATGCTGTAAAAGATATATACACGAGAGATCCTCTGGCTCGTTTATGCCAAGGTTGTTTGGTGGACCTGAGTGAGCATAATGTCAGACCTGTTTTTGTTTGGGTACCTGGACATTCTGGCATTAATGGAAATGAAATGGTTGATAGAGCAGCGAAAATTGCAATAACAGGTCCAAGAATTGATGAGGAGCATGTCAAAATGACGGACGTACAATGTCACCTTAAACAAAAAATAATAGAAATCTGGCAAGGCAAATGGGAAAGACAAAGTACATCCCTATCACATGTTAAACTATCGGTGAAGGAAAAACTATACCTGAAAGATTTTCGTAGAGATGAACAAATAAAGATACATCGGTTAAGATTAGGCCACACAAATGTCACGCACCAATATCTTTTGACGGGTGATCCCAGGCCGCGATGCAATACGTGTAATGTTGATCTCTCTGTGAAGCATGTAATCTGTGATTGTGTTAAGTATGTAAATCAGCGTGATAGGTTTAACCTAAAGGAAGATGTTAGAAGCAACCTTAACGAAATACCAAACTTGAAGAATGTGCTAAAGTTCCTGAAAGCAATAGGGATATACAGCAATGTATAAAAATATAAAGTTCTAAAATACTTACTTTTTACTTGGAAGGTATGTGTATGAATGTCGAGAAGACCCAAGTAGTCGAAGCCATACCTAAAAAAAAAAAAAAAAGCAAAATAAGTGGCACATTTCAATTGAAATTTTATACATATAATTATAAATGTATCCTTTCCTATATTCCTGAATCCTAATCACCCAAATTATACTTATAATGTAAACCCTGCATTGAAACAAGATGTTGCATCGCCACTAATGGAGGGTATTGCGCCTCACGTTCTCAGAATTAGAGTAGTATACACTACTGCATAAACTTCACCATTTACGTAATCGAAAAATTTTTTTTTTGTTTTAGACAACATGGACGATACGTCTACTACACTTTTCCATAGAAAGCACCACATATGCGATAAATGTAATCGCACGTACAGATGGCGACGTGGTTTAATTCAACATAAAAGATACGAATGTGGAAAAGATCCTCAATTTGCTTGTAACTTTTGTATTTATAAATGTAAAACAAAGTGGAGCCTAAAACATCACATAGCAAGAAAGCATTTATGTACTTAATTTATTTAATAAAACATTGGCGTTTTCAGTGACACTACTTGCACGTAAATGTAGAAAAGTGTCTTTGTTAACTTTACTTATAGACCTATTTAGTAAATTCTAATTATTAGTTTTTCTTTGTAGGATCATGTCGAGGACGCACACATCAGAGCCATATTGATGTTGTTATGCCAAATTCGTGGGATGGTGTTAAATTTATTTGTCCAAAATGTCAAAAGGTCTATCACCACAAAAAAACGCTAAGTCGACATATTCGCCAAGAATGCGGCAGGGAACCGAACTTGCAATGTCCTGTGTGTCCTTACAAAGCACGAAGATTGTATGTGCTTCGGTATCACATTAAACATCATAAACTAGACTCTTACAGCAACTTTTAGCTTAATATTTTAAGTTCCTACTTTAATTTCTTGTCATTTAATAAAAAATTAATCAATATAATAAGCTCTTGAGCAAGATAGTTTATTTGTACCCGCAGCTAGATTTCCGGTGAAGTGTACTAAATTCTACTGC